CAATGCAGAAGAAATATTATACTGGTCTTAAAACTGGCCAGAGGAATAGACTGGGCATCTCGGGTAATGGGTAAGGATCTTTTTACTTGTGGACAGAATATAAGGATGTCTCAGGGGAAGGATTAGTCAGACTCCATGTCTGACTATCCCTGCCCCCTGAGACAAATGTATATTCTGTCCACAATTAAAAAGATCCTTGCCCATGTAACTTAATTGGCCTGATGATGAATTACCGAAAGCATGTGTTTGCCGACCGACTTTTCAACTTGGAGACACCAGCTGCCTTCTACCGCTGAAAAATGCGGGAGGTCCAGCGGCAGAAATGCAAGCGTTTGCTTAACATCCGTTCAGATTCCCCCACCACGACTGTCGGGAAGATCATTTCTAATGCAAGTATAGCCTAGAAGAGAGCGCTCGGAGTCAGCTACGGAAGCTGTCGCTGATGTCTCAGTTACTAAAACAGTATCTGTGCAACAGACAAACACCAGAGTCCGAAACAAAGACATCTTATTTAACAATGATCTGGCATTTAGAACAAAAAGTTTAAGGGGAACGACTGTTTTTCTGAGGGAGCTGAGCTACATGGTTCACTGGTTAACTGACCACGGAAAATATGACCTGGATGCACCTGTCCGGTTCTGCAAAAGTGCTGGGGCATCAAAAGACCCTGATGTGGATAAAGAGGATTAAGATTTCGGGGAGGAAATGATGAATAGGGGAACAGATTACTAATGTTAGCTGGTTAATTTTCTGCTGGAAATCCACGGGCAGAATACTGTAGCGCATTCCTGCCGGAGCGAAAATACGATTGGGTGAGTCAACTGACCCAGTTTGGACATTTGCAGGAGGATAAACTAGATAAAGCGGACGTGGAGGAATCATGGAGGTAGGGGACGCACTGCTTCGATGGGGGTGGGAATTCTATTCAAAGATGGGCATATACAGGTTTACCGTCTCGATAAGAGGCCTGCGGGTAGTTGGAAACACACTATATTTGGGGCTGTGGTATTTGAGGGAGTGGCGATTGTGGAGGGAAAGACTTCCTAAAAGGACAGGATTTACCCAATGTACGAGTGGCTGAAATTACACTCGGAATCGTCTTTGAATTAGGCACTTGCTTTGGTCTTCTAGGGGTTTCTGCCGGAGTCGGTAGGAGTGTTTGTATACGAGGCGTGTTGTTGCGCTTAGAAATCTCAACATCATGAGTAGTCGAGTCCCTTGTATATTTAACTATGTCATGACATGGTGAAGCCACAGATGACGTCAAAGATGACTTATTCGACATGAAAACAGGGGTCGTTATATCTGTGTTGGTTTTCGACACTTTCAAATTGTTCAGTCTTCTCTGAGGTGTTGTGAGATCCGGTTAAGCCAAGTAACGCAGAATTCTCTGGTTATCTCTTTCCTCGATAAAATTAAGTTACTTTCTATCAGGGAGAAGAGAGTTACTAGTATCGGCATATTACCGCATAACGAGCGGAATCGTTTAGCTAAAAGAATAATAATTTTCGGTGTTGGACATATGAGACATTACTTCTCGTGCGGTCTAGCTCCGACACATACGTAATTTAGAAATTCCCTTTATCGACATAGATACTGAGTCCACGCATTGGTGTCGTTTTGCGAGTGATTACCAGTCATCCGTTAATTTCGAAATCTTTCTTGTATTCGGCCGCGAACTAGAGCTCCCTTTGGAAAGGGATTTGCTAACGCACGTTCGGAGCGTTTACAACAGCGTCCACAAGTCCTTGGGCACCTTCACAAAGTAAAGCCGAAGCACCTGAAACAACGATTTGGCCATGTATAGTCTTAGCCCCGCGTAAGGACGGGTCGTGTATTGTCCGGGCTTTTAAATCTAACAATTACATTTTAGTACGTCATCATCGAAACGGCTCGCATACCACATAAGAGATTGTAGCGGATAGGTGAAGCGGTGTGTAGTCTGTGCTTAGTGCCTTTCAACGTTTGGGTCAAATCCCATGTTTTAAGGAGAAGACAGCATTGACCTGGATGAAGGGTTCATTGTATACGGAACCCACGTTTTCCTCGCAGGCGCAACGACCGCTGGCGAAACCAGGGCTGGTGTTAACTGCGTCCAGCCATGCCTGAGAGTCCCTGGGACCGTGGTGGCAGCCGCTTTTGTAGGCTTGTAGACCAAGCTCAAGTGGTTTCCAATCGGTGTGTGGTGCATTTGCCGTAGGGTGGCAGCCCAGTGGCTGAGGCTGCATTTGCACGGGGGAGGTGCGTTCATGTGGTCGCGTGGGCAGCTGAGACTATGTGGACGCAGATATGTCGGAGATGAAGTCGGTTGAGTGGTTTCAGGTCAGCGTGTCTAGGACGGTTCACTGCTAGGAATGACTGATCTTGAGGCAGGCAGCGAGGCATTGGACAATGGCGTCAGACTGGCCATGATGGCCGCCCGCAAAAAGATCACCGACAGTTCATATCGCATTGGCAAAAAAACATCGGATCGGAACTTGGGGAGTTTGTGATACCTTCTCCCTGCCATCTGCGCGATTTAGTGGTGAAACCTGCGCCATTACTTTCGTCCCCCTATGGTAGACAGAATCCCCACGGTTCCCCTGAATGGCTGTCTGCTCTCAAGTCCGACCAGTAGGATCAAGACATTACGTGCCACGTCAGTGAAACCCTTCCAATTAGCGGGCCGGTTATGCTTATGGTTATTTACGAGGTTTTTGACACGGTTTAAGCAAATTTAACGGGCGTATAGTTTTTAGTTATCGGGTGTTTCATGTGTTGAAATTTATGCCTTCCCTACCAGCACCAGCCCCGCCTAGCCCCCTCATAAATGGCACGGCTAGAGGGGGCTATAAAGGGGCTGTGGCGGGGCATTCTATGCGACAGACCCGCCTGTCCCCATTAGCGGAAACAGTGCGCAGGGGATGCCAGATTCCCGCCAACTTTTAACACTCCTTTAAAATATCGACCTGTGTGCTGAGTCCCCTGAGGCGCACACACATAATACCTGCCGGCAGAAATTTCAGAGCTCAGAATAGGCATTCCGCGTTCGGGGGATTGATTGCCAACTGCTGTTGACGTTGAGGGAACCTCAGACTCAGACTCTTAAGTGACCCCATAATGTGCCTTCATCTGACGCTTAATGCGCTTGTATATGGGTATTCGATGATGGTCACGGCAATTACGTTTCATAATTGCTTTGGATATTCAGTAAAAACGATAAACAATTTGTCTAAGTAGACTGTGAACATCAATGCTAAATAGTACATACATAGACATACAAGTCGACTACTTGAACTGGTCGGTGAGTAAATAACAAATAATTAGCAGGAGATACATAAATGAACTAAGACAGTTATCAAGGGCATGAAAACAGCAATGGTTGACGCACGATATTATAGATAGAGAGATAGATAGATAGATAATTTTTATTAAAGACCCGTCGGGGTCCCATCAAAGCGACCCGTGGGCGTAAACGAATGTTTTTTTCCATGATTTATAAGTCAATTTCATAGATTAGCTCCTTTTAATGCCAAAGAAAGTACAATGAGTGGTGCTTTTGAAACATAACTTTCGATTCAAATACGCTTAAAAATTTTTCAATCCGGAAGGATCCCCGGCCCCACCCAGCCCCTTCTCAGCCCCACCTATGAAGGGGCCATATGTTGGCAGGGTTCCCAGAAGTCGCACCTCCATTACCCCTTTATTCACCATTCCCCGTAAAACAGGCGATAGGAGGAATAAATTATATGTGGTGTTGAGACATTGTCATCGTGATCCCTATGCTGCAAACCTCGTTCTTTTTCATAACTTTTTTTTTATCATTATACATTGCAGTTCAGATTTTTGACTTAAAACAAACTACTGATTCGCAGTCTTTCGACGAAGCGGACACCAAATACCAATGCAGCAAAAATGCAGCCGAAATGGATGAGTTTGTTTTAAGTTTTTTTGTGTTTTAAAAAGACTACCCGGATTTAAGAGGTGCCTAGGTATAAGTCTATTCCACTCTAGAAACGCATCGCGTTTATCTTTTAAATAGATAAACATGTAAATATCGACGTAACAGACAACGCTACGCCAAAATGCAGACTATGCGACTTTGTAACCATAAAAACCAGTGCCCTATGTGAATTGATAAGTGCACTCACTTACTGCTGAAATTTATCCATACTGTTGCTAATTTTTTAGATTTGTATGCACAAATGGGGCAATCAAAGGCGTAAGCCAATTTTCCTCAAATGCACTAAGTACACTAAACCTGCTGCTGAAGTTATAGCCTAGTTAATCAGTTATGCTAAAAGTACAACTTGAACGGCCCCCCTCATTGTTTTTCTGTCGAAGCCCTATAGACGTAGATAGATGATAGCAGAGTTGCTTTGCGAAATACCAGAGTACCTAGCTCAGTGCAATGGTTTCCAGCCGTCTGAAGGACGGTGTCCTGCTACCCCCAGAATCCGCAAACCGGAGAACACGTTCGCATAGACATCCTCCTCATGACTGTTTCTCACTGGTTTAGTTTCCAGCTAAGTACATTAATTTTGGCACTTTTGTCTTCATGACATATTTCTTCCTATATTTTCCTCCATGCTGCATAGACTGCTATCACTTGTTCCCTTTAATCAGCCCTCTGCACACTTTAGTCTTCTGTTTGTTTCCTGCGTGGCAACAAATATTTACAGGTCTGCTTTGTAGCCCTCCATAGAAACGCAGACTGAATATTGGACTGCAGAATTCGGTTGCTTTTGCGGCTCCTATCGAATATGCCCACATGCACTGCAGTTGTCATTTGAGCCCAACTTTGCTGATCAGTGATTGGCCAATTGCAAATGAACTTTTTGGTCACAGCCAAAGCCCTTTTAAACACAGTGGCACGGTAATTCACGCACACCCACAAGGTTGAAGTACATCGTCCATACACGGTTGCGTTCTCACGTTAGGACGCAGATTTGCCAACCAATAGCGGGCGCTTGTCTTCCCTTTGCCTATCTTCCGTCACCTAATTTCCATACGTCCATATCATGCCTCAGACGTCCGACTCTGAAGATGGGTAAACATATTTACCCGAGATGCAGATTTTGTTTTATTCCTTCAAAAGGGATATCCATTTATATTATTTGCTTTTCTCCTTCCGGCTAGCTATAGCGATGCGACTGGTTTACTTTCACCCGAGGAACTCAAGGTATGTTTCTTCTGTAATTAATATATAAAAGTTTTGACTCTGATGTGTCTTTTTTATCAGTGAACTTCACTGAATTCAGTGACGGTTGTTTTTATTTTTCCCTAGATGTAGTCCTCGTTTTGACCCAAAACAAATTGTCAACATTTTCGAAGTTAAGACCATGAAATACCCCTTGACTTGTCACGCCGCTTTGGAATCACCACTAACACAAACCGGACAGACCATAAATAAAGCTAGTTCATCAGATGATCGACCCAGTTATCTCGAAAGGTTAAGTTAGGGTGCGCAAAGGCCCGCATAAACCTCTACCATAATGAATACTTATAGTTTCAACATAAGATTTTAATCACAGTAATTTGCGAATTTAACTAGTCACAAAATTTTCAATCGATGTCCGAGAGACAGACATCCCTCTGATGACCGACGACTTAACCAAGTATCGGCAGACCAGAAGGCTGTGACCTCTTTGCACCGGTTGGACTTGCGGAGGGTTGACGGCGGCAAGTAGAGCACGTATAGGGACTAAATGTGTAACGTTGAGGAAATAGAAGTAGTTGGCTTTGGAATAACGTGCTCGGCTGAAATACAGGCGGTACCCAAAAGCTCTCCACTCGAAGCATCTGGCACTGAACTGAGACTCGACCGATCTATTGAAGGTTTAGGATTCAAACCATCCGGCTGGTGTTGTCAAGGGTTAGTGACGCTGGGAGATGCACCGCTACACACTTAAGTGGGTACCGACAAAGAAAAGAGGTCAGAATGACCTTTTATGGCCTATTAACCGTCGTTAGCTAGCCTTACTCAGCCTCAAGTTTCGCAGGACCAGAGATTCGGACTCGCTTTCTTTGGTCACCGACCGTTAAAATCTAGTATGACTTGATTGACAAATATACCAACTTCGGGACGCCGGAGCTGCAATGTATCAACAGTCTACAGGCTTCACAACACCAACTCCTCTGTGAATTGTAGTACAGCTGGGCTTTTGACGAACCTAAAAGCTAGAGCAGGAGTGATCTGAATTGTTTTACCGAGGATTGGCGATGTGGAAAACTCACGATCCGCATTTGTCTTTCTGTGACTGCAAAGAACTTGCAGAAAGCCTAACTTTCTTCAAATTTGGACAGGTGAATAACATCCATTACAGTGGTCTCTTTCAGTGAAGAGGAAGGACTCAGTCGCGAGGACTCGTTCGCCTTTCAAAATCTTGTGCTAGGATCCATGAGACCAAATTGCTCCTAGTGCATAAGCACGCCATGAGGGATTTTAACCAAGAGCACGATTTGGGACCTGAAGCATTGGCACTTCCATACTTTTTCGTAGTAAACGCATCAATGCCGCGACAAAATCCAGACCACGTCATATTTGGTCTTAAAATAAACCCCATTTTAAAGATGATTTACCTCCTATTTGATAATCCGATCAACCCAAGTACCTTAGGACTGTTATCAACATGCCTCGGCACTATCACACTTAGACAATGGGTGATTTTTCCACCTATTACGTCAGATTGCGCGATCTCTGCACAGCTCATCTTTCCTGCTCCCAGACCTCTTTAGCGTTCATAAGTTACGGAATGTATTTGAGAGGCTTCGAATCTGTTTTATCTCGTGTCAACCCGACCGTTCTTCAGAACTTTTCTGAATTTCCGAGACATTTCATAAACAATTGTTAGAAGCCTCGTTGAACGACTTTCAAGCGAACTGAAGGCTAGCCATCTCTAGGAATTTAATTGAAAATTGGTCCAGTTCTTTAAGAGCTAGGAAAGCGTCTATGCCGAAACTCCGAGACCAGTTCCCCGTTAAGTCGTCGGGCATATTGACTACGTACAAAACAGCTCTCTGATCGCCTCGAACAAAATGATTGGGTGGTTAGCTAAAATTTGTGTCAGTATGCGTTTTTTGCATCACGCCCCTCTCCGCATGTCTTGAAGAAGCTTCTGCGAGGCATCGAAGTCGACATGCCTCCCGATGCATGTCTTATTCCAGTGCATTACCTCTAAGAATCTGCGACCTTACCTTGCTGACGATGTAAGTCTTCTCTCAAACAAATTTGTGTTCTTGCTAAGAAATATTGTCAAAAAATAAAACGCCCTCTAGTGGGTACATTTCTATCTGAATTTCCGGTGGAAGTTATACTACAGAAATTAGAAGCTACAGCTCTCTTCACGGTTAAACCGAAAGAGTGGCCGCGTTATTCTGATAAAACACCTGTTATCCTCAGAATGAATCGATTACAAATGCACCAAAATTATCTTAACTCTGTTTTCTCTCCAAGAATTGAACCAGCCTTATAGACAGAAGTCAATAAAAAACTGTTTCTTTGTGTGCCCGTATACCGGAATACTGGTGGATCGCTGTATACCGAAGTTTATTTCGACGACATGCACTCAGAAGTCAGCTGACATTATGGGAGTACTTATTTCATTACTTATAAAAGTAGCTCCGTCAACAGCTGTCTAAACCAGACTGAAACAGAATGTCGATACAAGGAAGTATATCTGGTAGAAATAAAAAACCATTTCAAATTATTCACAAAATAGACTTTGTGCACCAGTGCGTGAGACCACAGGAGTTCGAAAAAAGTTGGTTACGATGCCACGACCGCCCACACGCAAAACGCAACAGCCAGACGAACTCACCCTTATGTGGAAATGCATCTGAGCTCACTGAAGGTCAGCTGAAAGAACCCCAGATACGAGTAATGCGCAGATCCACAGTGTACATGAACGCCAATCAACAGTGAAGAGATGAGACAGTCTCAGACGACCATGCGCACGCTTGGCACAGGACACATACTTGTAAGAGAGGAAACTCGCATCTTCCACATCTGCCTTGCTAGGCGAGGCCGCAAAATCTTACAGGTAATGCAATCGAATGGGACATGCATCAGGGGGCATATCGAGTCTGATGCCTCACGGAAGCGCCTCAAAGACAGGTGAAGACGGACACAGTTAATTCCGACCGGGTGACGAGGTGCAAACTGCGTGTACTGACACGAACTCCAGCTAACCATCCAATCTTTTTGTTAGAGGCGACCAGAAAGCTAACTGTTTTTGTACGTAGTCAATAATCTAATGAACATATGGTAAGGGTGTTCCGGAAGTTTGCGCCAAAATGCTTTTCACGTACCTCCAAAATGTGAAATTTCCCAGTATACATGAAATCAGTAACCGGTTTCATGAAATGTTAACTGAAATTCTGAAATGCGTTTTTGATTAGGAAGGATAACCTACGTGGGATTGTAACATTGATTGTCGTGCAACATAATCCAAAGGTACTTCAGTCGAAACCATACTCCGCAAGAAATGGTTACTCAAGCAGTACGCAATTTTTTTTATCGCTTTTCGATTGCATCACAAACTAAAATGTCTTTTTATAAGGAAAGTGCGCAAAACTATCCTTCTTACACATCAAGTAGCAAATCAGGTCTTCTTTAGATCTTAGACTCGAAAAGGGTGCATTTTAGATTTTGAAAAGTTTCCAATTGTGAGGTTTTTTGAGACCGTGAAATGCCCCCCCCCCCAGGTAGCACCAGGTCTGTCTGTCCTTAAATGCTCCTCACTGTGTATACAACATAGTTCACATACAGTGCAAACATTTTATGAACCCCATATGGTATTTACTTAATGGCTTAAAGAATTATGTAGTTTTCCCTACACGGAATATATACAGCGTGTAGACCGAGAGCCCCAAACGCGAATGCAACAGGAGGTCGAGCTAAAAATTATTTGAGAACTGGAAGAGGCTTTTTTGAAACCAAAACTTACCTTTTCTTCGGACATAAACTCCAGCGAATACCCGATTCGTTACCAAATGAGTACAAGAAATAACATTCTTGTTGGGGGTCTCTGTAAAATATGTTTGAATTTATAGAGACATCAAAAGTCAGTAAAACAATCATACTACTTGAGAAGTCCTTTTTTACCGAATGCGGTTCTTGCAGGCGGCCAGAAAAAGGTGTATTTAAAAGCTGATTTTCCGACATGTCTAAAATATCACGGGATTATGTCTCAGGTTAATTAGTATTACGGCCTCACTTAAGCAATCCTTTCTAGCCAAAAAATCATTTTCGAATCTCGGTTAACATTTCATAAGATCAGTCACTGGCTACACGAGGGACGGAAATACTGGGATCACAATTTTAAAGGATTTTCGTAGATGGTATCCTCTCAGAAAATTAAGCACGTATTTTAACTGTGCTATTTTAATCTGCGAGTCTTACCACTCCGGCGTTTGCCAGTCTGCAGATCAAGACTCCGGGGCTGAAAAATCAGATAAGGATGTCACCGTAATGTCCTAAGCAGATGTCCTCGAGTTCTTTGTAGGACTGGGGTAGTCTTGTGATTCCACCACGTACTTTTTGAGTATACACCCATTTCAGGCGCAGCCTTCTCTCCAACCCAATCTGACTATTCATCAGATCTCTCGAGTAAGACGGGACGTTATGAATCCGATACGTTCTTCTTACCCTGGTTTCCTCTCAGTTCCAAACTTTTGTTGGTTTGTTCAGTTCATCCCCACCCCCACCCTGTTTAACAGGTCTGTATTTCGAAGCGACTCTCCGTTACCGGCATGTGATCGCGGATTCGGATCTTTCAGTTATGTTTTTTTGCTTATACTTTAGCCCCACCGCACCCGTCTGACCTCATCCAACTGGAGTGCACCGGATCCAGTTCTGCGATTCGGTGGTCGCACCGTCTTCACTCGTGGTCGACCGCCCTGGTATACCTGTGATGGCCAGCAACAGGAGTGTTTTGTGATTGGAATCTGTGGAGGCAGCGGGAGCGGGAAGACAACCGTTGCCCAGAAGATTATCGAACGTTTGAATGTCTCCTGGGTCAGCCTTCTGAGCATGGACAGCTATTATAAGGTTTGTATTTTACATTTCACCCTTTTGGGACCTGAAATCAGTTTATTAAGGGAATGAGGCTTTCGCCCTTGATCTCCCTACTCATGTCCAAAACAGCAGTAGAATCAATTGCTACATCAGTTATTCTGGAAATGTAAAAGTTATCGGTATTTGTGGACCAGGCGCAAACTGCCGCCACCGACAGAATCGTGATTATGTGTACAGCAGTTTCTCGGCTGTCCGGTCTGCACTTAAATGATTCAACAGTTTCGGAATGAACCACCGCGTCAGGGAGTCCGTTCCGTGCTCCAATGACGCTCTGCAAGAAGGCATTCCGCCGGACGCCTGTATGGGCCAACGTCCTCTGCGGACGGTCTGTCCCGGCCAATGCGAAGACTGTGGTAGGTTTGGATGAGGTCGCCGCACAGTTGCCTGTAGCTGGAAGGAAACAGATTTAGTTCAGAGAGTCTAGTTTCGTAAGGCGGATGGTAAGGACTCTTAACCATCTTCACAACCCTCGCCTGTACTCCTGTCAGCTGTTAATAATCCTTTCTGAACTACGGTCGCCAGGCCTGGACGGCATACTCAAAATGAGGCCGAACGAATGCCGCTTAGGTTTTTCGGAACATCTCATCGATCTACGCAAATCCTCGCCTCAGCGCAAATAACACCCGTATCGCACGTTTAAGGATGGAGGTTACTAGGACGCCGAGGTCTTCCTGTTCCTCAACATTTGAAAGGAGCTACCCACTAAGGGGATGTCGGAAAGAATCATCCTCTTCACTGGTCCCTCTGCTGTGGAGTCTCAGGACCACACCTTTGCTCGAATTAAAATGTAGGAGTCAAAGAGCTAACCAACTGGTAAATCGGTGGAGACTCTCTTGAAGTGCGTACCTGTCTGTGTCAAATCTGATGGCCCTCCAAAGTTTTACATCGTCAACAAACATGACGGCGTTGCATCCAGGGTTGCCGATACAGTCGTTCAAGTAAACTAGGAATAGTAACAAACCTAAGACTGACCCCTGGGGAACACCACTTAGAACAGGAGTTGGAGTTGACTTTGAAGCATCAACATACATGGTTTGTGATCTCCCTGTAAGAAAGTCTGCGATTCATGCCAGCAGCTTTCCTCTTTTTCCAATTTCAGCCAGTTTGTAGATAATTGTTAGCGCTTATGCGAGTTCCATTCTTGCACTCTAGAAAGATATTTGCTATCCTCCATTCGATTGAATGGCTCACTGGACAGCCCCTCATCGATCTGCACAAATCCTCACCTTAGCGCAACTAACACCCGTATCTCGCGCATGGCTGCCCTCAGAAACTGTGACAATGGTTTAAGGGAGGAGACCATTAGGGCGCCGGGATTCTTATGCTTATCAACATTTCAGAGGGGCTGCCCACTAAGGAGGTATCGTAAGGAATCACCCTCACTGGTCCTTCTGGTGCGGAGCCTCAGGACCACACATTTGTCCACATTGCAATTTTGGAATCAACAAGCTAACTAACTGCTAAGTCGGCCGAGACTCTCCTGATGTGTGTGCCTGTCTGCATCAGGTATGACGATCCTCCGCAGTTTAACATGGTCAGCAAACATGACGACGCAACATCTCAGGTCATCGGCACAGTCGTTCATTAATATCAACGGTCCTATGACTGAGCCCTGGAAGAAACCACTTAGAATGGGAGTAGGGGTTGACTTCGAGGCATCAACACACACGGTTTGTGATCTCCCTGTAAGAGAATCTGCGATTCATGTCAGCAGCTTTCCTCTTCTCCCAATTTCAGACAGTTTGTAGATTAGGCGTTTGTGTGGGACGCTGTTGAACGCCTTCTAGAAGCCCGTCCAGTGCGCGAGTCCACTGTTTCGCTCGCTTTGTGAGACTTCTGGTCCCACTCTGAACTCGGTCATAATGTGTGGCACATTGGCGACTTCCAGCTCCTACCTCTTATCGGTGCTGTTATACCATAAACGGCCATAAAATATCTGACCACGCCTTGGCGGCCCCACCTAATGAGTTATCTCGTACACACCCATAGGCTGTGCCAATTAGTTGCACATTCAGTCTTTCTCACCCGCTATTCTGCTGAGAGTAGCTAGAATCATATCTCCAGTGTCGTACACTGTCTGCTGAAATGCGTCCCCTAGCCATGTAAGTTTATTTTTTATTGTTTATTTACCGAAATGGCGACAAGTAAAAGTGCAAACGCGAAGGTCGCTAGACGTCGGAGATATTAGGCTAGGTCCTGATAGCTGAACCTGCGATTCATTAGAATATGGAAATGCAGGAAGTGGATTAACACGGGAAGCGGGCGCCTCGGGCGGGGGGGTTTGTATATGTCAGGCCAGCAGTTCGTATAATTATACGTTATTGGCGGCTAGTGTCTCGATATCGCAACATCATGTAACCGCCGCCAATTAGAGTCTTTTGTCGATCCTAATACAGATTTTAGGGTAGGTTGGGATTCATCGCCTATGTTCCGTGATTAGCCGTTGTGAGTGATGTGCGCGGTCATTGGTTGTATGAGCACGTCCGATCCTTGCTTTGCTATTGAGGATTGCTAAGTCGATTCGTCGGAAGTATCCTCATCGCCATTTGGTTTTTACTGAAACAGCCGCGCGGGGCCGTTCTAGGCATGCCTTTGAACAGCGACAAAACATCGTGCCTGTTGGCCCAGCTGCTGGCTGCCTGGTACATCTACAGATGTAGGTGGCTGAAGAGCCTTCAGTAGAAGTTTACTACGAGATAAGCGAGAGAGTAATCGGCCACTGGCGCACACGGGAAGTGTTAGTGGGTTGCGGAGGATCAATACCTGGTGACTGACAAGTAGTGAATGCAATTCAACTTGGTGAGCGTTGACCACCATCAAATACTGTCTTCCCGTATCCGTTACAGTGTGGGACAGACGTCCGTTCAACGGACAAGTTAAGGACGCGCACTGACTCCTCGAAACACCACCTTATGGGAGTCAGCGATCTCGACTCCTTCCACCATGTCCCCGGTAGTTGACGCGTACAGAACCCTGTCAGTGATGAACTAGATGGCAGGTACACGAGCTGGGATTTTCAAAGTGAGGGGAGAAGTGCACATCGAATGCCCGCACCATGCGGGCTCTGTCATGTGGGCGTTTCTTGAACCTGAGGTTCACTTGCCAGATCGTGAGTCGTGCTGCAGTACGGTAATACTCGTTTCCATTTCTTCCACAGCGGTGTTACTGACAACTCTGACTGACGTAATATCTCAGACCCCCTGGTCCGACCGAGGCTTAACCTAGAGTAGATGTGCTATCTCTTGAAATGTTAACCAAAACTTCGAAACATGTCTCCAATTAGAAAAGATCATTAAAGTAGGGTTGTAATATTAATTATCGTGCGGTATAATCCTAAGATATTTCAGCCACACCAGGATGTCGGCATTTGAATCAATCTCTTTACGGCCGTCTTCAAAAACACGCTCTGGAAAAGACCACCACTTAAGTAGTTTGGATTTCTCCCATTGATTTTTGTACCCTCAGTCATATTTTGTAGAAAGCAGGCGCAAAAATGCTCTTTGCTGCGCTCATTTGATAGCCGATTTCTACTCGAAGAGTGAGAGTATCTTTGAGTCTGATAAAGGTTTCCAATCATGAGGCTTTAAAGGGCTGTGAAATGTCCATTCATGCAGTGTCACATCATCATGTTTATTACTGCCACTTAACCTGGTCTACATCCATTGTACAATTTTATGAGTCTCTTGTATGCCGTCATCCTAGCAGCGTAGAGAAATGTTCGCTATTTTTTTTGCTGGAATTCATACAACATGTAGTCTGGAAACTTTGGATGCAAGCCCAACGTCAGGTGGGACAAAAAAGTTACTCGGGAAAAGTCAATCGATACTTTTTCTCCAAGTAGAATATTTAGAGAAGACATAATTTCTTATGCACGTTTTCTATAAAATGTAGTTTGAAATATAGGGGCACAAAAATCAACGGGGAAAATTCATACTACTTAAGTGTTCATTATTACAGAGCGTGTTTTTTGTAGACGGCTGAAAAGAAGCTCATTAAAACTGGGATCCTGATGTGACTGGCATACCTAAGGATTATGCTTCGCGATAATTAATATCACAATCCTAACTAAGGGATGTTTTCGAATCGAAAACATATTTCAGAATTTCGGTTAGCATTTCATGAGATTACACATCTACCGTTTGTGCTGAGAAGCAGTGTCTCTGAGGGTCTAGTCTGTGCATCTCCATGGTGCTATTGCCTTCTTCGCAGTTGTTGTGGCATACGTCCCAACACACTGGATGCTGATAACCTACAGAAGGCCTTCCATGACGCACTGCAAATAATAGTCAGGCTTGTCCAAATACGTTACCTTGTTGCGGGCGATTGGGATGCTAAGACGAGAAGGTGTGATGCATACACGAGGCATGTCCTTGGCCAGTGCGCAATAGGAAATCGTTGCGCGCATGGCGAAGTGGGTATCCACTTTTCTGCGCCAGACCGCTCGGTCGTTGCGAATACCTGCTTTTGAGACACCCTAGGAGAACTCTAGTCATATCAAAGCCAAATCCGCCGCGTACGTATCAGGGCACACTGTACCACTTGAGGGCTCAAGTTCTGCCGACACTGGCAGGAAGAAGGTCCCTAACCACGCTTTTGAGGACTTGGCCATGGCTCAGACTACGTGCTATCAAGAAGACACGATGTTGATTATCTCTCATCGATCCTGTCTCTGTCACGGGCCTGCCTTGCTGCCCCGCCACACATGACAAACGCTCCTGTGCTAGGCCACAATAGGCGTCGTTGCAAGGCTTTGACCTCTGACGCATCGGTCCATTTGGTTAGCTGTACAAGGCTGCCCGTCTTTGCGGCGATTTGGACTGTATTGTACAACCAAACTCTGAAGTCAGACTGCCTGCGTCCTCGAATACTCTTCATATAGGGATGGTACTAGTCTGCGGAAGATTTTTCAGTTCTCTATGCCGCCTGCCTCAACAACTAGGAGCAACCGAGGTGTGTTGATAGCGTCAAGCTCGAACATGACGCCGAGGTGGAAGGAGTATTTTACCCGGCCTCTGAATCCGGCATTTTTAACCCCCTCAGCTACTGTTCAGTTTGAAGACGCTCTGACACCCGACCATGACTTTCATTACAGCCCACCGTCTACGGAGGGCTGACGACCTAATGATGATTGTCTTTCAGCTGAAAGTAACAAGTTCTTTTCAAAAGGCAGTTTGGCGAGCATACGTCTGCTTTCGATAAATTCTCTTCAAGCCTGTACTTTTATATGGCCATTGAAGTAATGAATTAAAGGATACGGTCAAGTAGATAATTAAGCTGTAGCTCGGGTTTGGGGAGGGGAGGGGGGGGGTGGCTTGGTGGCTTTGAGCCATGGCAACTGTGGGACCTGTATGAAGTTCTTCTGTGCGCATAGGACCGGTCCGCGTAGCTCGATTGCAGCCGCCTCTGCCGTAGCTAACAGGCGCTGCTCAAGCAGTTTCGGACAGCTTGATGAGACCTTGTAAATCACTCTGAAGGCCTGTCTGGCGTCTACACGGTGGTCTGTGTCTAACATGTGCGCGAGGATCGAGCTGTTGATGTTCTTTGTTTGACCCTTTCCCAAGTTCTGTTCAGCAATGTTAACTGATGGGCTGTTCACGCTGAGGAGCGAAAACCCTGCCCAACTCCCTGAAACACCACCTTATGCCAGTTCCTATGTTACGCATTTCTACACTTTCTCCTATGTCCCCGGTAGTCGACGAAGGGTGACAAGCTGCTTTTTAAGAACTACCATGGCGTCAGTCTTAACGCTATGTCAAAAATCACGTTCGTTCTAAATTTCCCCTGCTTGTGCTGTGGCACATGGACAACAAATAATCAGCGCCGTTTTCCACAAGGACTGGAATGTGTTGGGCCAAACTCCTCCTTTCGTTGAACCCCTGAGTACCACCCCTGTAATCAGTGGCCTATTAGTTTGTTTTGTGGGTTTAACGTCTGCTTTTGACCGTCTATCGGGATTCTCCGTGGTAAATCCTACTTCATGCCACCGATATCCCTTCGCTTACTCCAAGTCTGCTCTCCTAAAACGATGGTAAATGAATTCCGTGACCTCTTTATCTCCCCCCTCACTCGACGTCCATCTGTTCTTCGTTCTTCCACCAACTCTGTCCAACTGGACTGGGTTTGTTAACATGCTGACAGTTCTTGGTCCGTGCACACCGAATCTTAATTACGCTGAGCATGTTTCACTTCTGATGGTCTCCATTGCAGAAATGCGATATACCCTGTCAGGGGAGGCACGGGAAATGAACTCAAAAGTTAGTTATCTCAAGACCATCGTCGTCTCGTTCGAACCCAGTCCTGGCTGGCGGCCACGTTGGGGTAGCTAAGTGAAGATGTGAGTTGACGTTAGGAAGGCTGGCTATGAGTGTATCTCCGGTTCCGCGGTCATCGTGGTTGACATGAAAACTGACTCACCTCCGCTCGGGAATCTACCTCTGACCAGTAGCAGTGGAGAACAATCATTCTTGATGTGGTAGATTTACCATTATGACAAACGCCATTGGAAGTACGAGGCAGTAGGCGTCCTCTGAACAGGACTACCAGCCGTCAGACTTGCGACTGGCATAGATTGCTCCGACAAGAGGGCACTTTTGGTATTTTCACTTGAATTATCACCTTGCCCTCCTTTACAGGTGCTGACGCCGGAGGAACTGGAACAGGTGAAGAACCACACCTACAATTTCGATCATCCCAGTGCTATTGACCACGAACTCCTCATCAATCATCTCTCACGATTGCGGGAAGGCAAGAGCGTCCAGGTGCCCGAGTACGATTTTAAGACGCACAGTCGGACATCTAAGACGGTAGGTGCCTCTTATATATAACATCTTCTTTTTCTTACCGTGTCCAGCAGTATTACTGGTGGTTTCGCCACCCTGGGGGAAATGTTACTTTGACGAAAGGCAGTCAAGGGAGTCGCAAAAAAAGGAAAAAAGTCAGTCGGAACAGGACTAGACTTTGCAACGTCAGGCTATTAATGCCACTCCGTTAGAGATATGTTTATTCCGCTCGGGCGTTTATGATCCCTGTTGAGCAAGATGGGCAAATTTCCGCACCTGCCTAATGTTAGTTGAGCCTTCGCCTATGAAAGTGCTGTTAGTGCGACTGCCACGATTATCGTGAGGAAGTATCTGGAAAAAGTAGTGAAGGCCAATCCACACCCACTGACCGACCAAAACCATCACCGGTCGCGAAAACTGTCATTTAAATTGGCTTTAGAGGAGTAGTTGTCGTCATTAGTCTCATTTTTTCTTCCCTCCGGGGGCATAACGTAGCACTCGGCATCCGGCCGTCAGACGTACAGCTGTTGTCTTCAGTCATGGGGTGACTGGGCTTGACAGTTAGCATTCAATCTTATTCCTGCACGTCCCTCGTTTTATGGATATCTTCTGTTGCTGGTGCATCACAAAGCTACTTTGGCATCTTCTACTACTACTACTACTACTACTACTACCACCACCACCACTACTACTACTACTACTACTACTACCACCACTACTACTGCTACTACTGCTACTACTTCTACTACCATTACTACTACTACCACCACCACCACTACTACTACTACTACTACTACTACTACTACTTCTACCACCACCGCCACTACTAGTACTACTACTACTAATACTAATACTACTACCACCACTACTACTGCTACTATTTCTACTACCATTACTACTACTACTTCTGCTGCTACTACTACTACTACTACTACTACCACCACTACTTCTACCACCGCCACTACTACTGCCACTACTACGGCCACTACTAATACTGCTATCGAAACCTCGATCGTTCCGCCCTCCTTAGTGTCGTATCACTATCCGATTCATTGGATTGACCGGTTCGGTTTTCTCCCAAGTTAGGTATTGACTCCCCACACATCTCGTTAGATGGAAATACCTCTGCCCTTGAACAGTTTGCTGTCCCCTGACCGTATACATACCAGCGTGAAATTTATTGATCAACACTGACTTTGAAGCCGTCATTCAAGTGAACAGACGGTCGATTGACGAGTGGTGCATGTGGACAGTCGGTCAAGTGTTGGTTGGTGAGTCAACGTCGTGGATGGGCTGTGAGATACAATCCGGGGCGTCCGTGTGTAGGGGAAGGGGAGCTATCCGAGCGGAGAGAGTTGTTTTCAGGACCAGAAGTCGCCTAGTGCCTTGACTAGTCTTCCTCTGTGACTTACGTATTGTTCCCGTCGGCTTGGCCCGACGGAATTCGGTTGATATTCTCATTGAAAGTTATAAAATCAGGGCCTCTTAGATCACTGGAATGGACTTCCGAGCCGCTGTAGTAGCACACTTAGGTGCGGGTTTTCGCTGTCCCAGGCTCTTGCGCCCTCTACCGCCTCCTGTCTTCCTGACCCTGTCATGACACCGATCTCAGATGTAGGAGGAGGAGAGGGTGCGGTAGATGCTGCGCAAGTCTGCTAGGACTATAACTTAACTCACGCGTAAGTCACCGTCCCTAATCCCACCCTGCTGTGGGGCACAGGATAAACATCGTTGGGAACGACTGTCGAACTGTCAACCCTCAAAACTGTCATTGCTCAAAGCTTATACCTTGGTGAATAGGAGGTCCGGATTTTTTCTCAGGTGAAGAACGCGACTGTCTCTTCGGAGATCTACATTCACGAAGGCCCATATCCTATAGTGGAATAAGCTGCCAGATATACTGAAGACACTGCGTTCTCACGACATAATATTTGGGCAATTAACATACTTGTTCGAGTTTTGTGCGCATGGTCCTTATTGCGGAAGCACTGTGGACGTGCATTACAAAGTTGTTTAAAATACTCCGATTATGCCCTCTGGTTGGGGGCGCCACCTAAGCTGAATTGCAACACAGTGGTGGGCATAGGGCGATTTTACACTTATTTGCGCACAGTGGCCGTGCCTGCTGCCCACTTAGCATTTTCCTGTTGCAACTTTATGCACACATGTGCTCGGCAGTATACTTTGAACCACGGGGCTGAATCGGGGTGTCCGGAACATTGCAGGGTTAACGAAACAGATCACTTGTATCTGATGTCCAACCTTTGATCTCGCTCTGTTGACATTGCCTTGACCAACTTTGACGACCAATTTGCCGTTTGACCACATTTACAGTCAAGGAAAACCTTCATTCCTTATTTTTCGACCCCCCTGGCGCTTTGTTAGTATGCAGCTGTACAAATTGGATGACATTGTGCACTCCTGCTGATGCTGAGACTCAACTAAACTTTGAGTGAATGTTTCTCTCGCTCATCCCCAACGCCCGCCATAACCGTTTTTACTAAATGATATAATAGGCTGGACTTTAAGTAAACCTCGACAAATCAGCCCTGTGCTATTTAGATTATAGATTTAGATGATAGACTTTGACTACAGTAGGTGGGCTAACTCATGAAATCTCGACAGGAATTCCGAAATGAGTTTCCGGTTTGAAAAGATGGTTGGATACCAGTGTCGCAACACTCCGTTACTGATGCTAGTATTATTGCAGTTAGTTACCCATACTGTAAGCGTTGGTAGGGTAGCATTGGCAGCCGTGGTGGCGGTGGTAGTAGTAGTAATACTAATAGTAGGATTATTAGTAGTATTCGCCGTATCAGTGGTGGTAGACGGGGGAAAAGTTTTCTTCAGTGTTGCGACACTGTATTCCCGCCAGTGGTAGTAGTATTAGTAGTAACAGCGGTAGTAGTGGTAGTAGTAGCAGTAGTAGTGGTGGTGGTGGTAGTAGTAGTATTAGTGGTAGTAGTAGTAGTAGTAGTAGTAGTAGTGCGCCCGTAAAACAGGCTGGTGGGGGAATAGACAATTCTAAGTGTTGCGACACTGTATTCCCGCCGAAAAGATAAATTAAGTAGGGCTGTAAAACGACTCATTATGCAGCATAATTCTATAATGATTCAGTTACCCCAGGACGCCGACTTTCGAACAAACGTCTTTTCGGCTGCATCCAAAAACCATGCTCGTTAGAAATGACAACTTAAGTAGCATGCATTTCTTTCATTGATTTTCGATGCCCTTAAAGATTCAATTAAATTTCATAAAAAACATGCATAGAAATATTCATCGCTCTGCTGATTCAGTAGAAAATTACTTCTTCCAATTTTATACTCAAAGGAAGGGTATAATTCGGTTTTAAAAAGTTTCTAATTGTGAGATTTTTTAATACCGTAAAATGGCCCCTCATAAAACGTCGTGTCTCTGCATTTACCAATGTGGCTTGCAAAGTTAACAATGTGGCTCATATCCACTGCTCAATTTTATGAACCCTGCATGGTCCCACTTTATTACTGAAGAGAAATGCATGGTTTTCCATACGCGGAAATTATACGGCTTGTAGTATGGGAACCCTGACTGCAAGTGTGACGGCAGGTCGGGTTGAAAACTATTCGGGAATTGGGAAGGTTTTATAAAACCAAATTATACCCTTCCTTCGAGTATGAAATTGAAAGAAGAAGCAATTTTATACTGAATCAGCAAAAGAATGAAGATTTTTATTCGTGTTTTCTATGAAATATAATTGAATCTTTAGGGTTATCGAAAATCAATGAAAAAAGTATGCTACTTAAGTAGTCATTTTTTACGGCGTATAGTCTTTGTACGCAGCCGGAAAGAAGTTTGTTCGAAAGCCGACGTCCTAGGGTAACCGAATTATTATAGAATTATGCTGCACGATGATTGGTTTTACAAAGCTACTTAATTTATCTTTTGGAAACGGAAACGCATTTCGGAATTTCTGTTGAGATTTCATGAGTTAGCCCACTTACTGTAGATTATAGATAAGATTATAGGCCTTGAATACATTGGTGAGGTTACAGTGCTGGCAGGATCTATCAACGAGCTGCGCCCCATGTAGGCGAAGCTTAATGACTTTCCGGAAAGTAAATGTGATCTTTTCGGCCTCGCAGTCACGTCGTCGGTGATGGAACTTGTAGGTTCATGCCCTTCTTTGGTGGAAGCACAAATGAAGTCGAACGAGCGGAGTACACACGGATCAAGGCGACTGTCGAGCCATCCCGTTTTAGACCCACTCGAAATCTTTGGGAATGTTGTGAGACCCTTTGCATGGGGGAGGGTGTAAGTCAGGGGACATAGGAGTCTCCAATCAACACACAATCCTTCCGCGTGGTTGAGAGGCGCAAAAACAGCAGGATTTTGTGAAAATTTCGCGACAGCTTATTAGTTGCTACCCGTTCACTGCATAGAGCAGATGACGAATGGGGAATTTCAATTTGCCGGGAAGACCAATTAGAAAACAGCAAGATCATGGTTCAGTACACACACGCACACAGTCTAATAGATGAAAAGGGAGTGAATGGCAGGCCAACGCTCCAAAGGGCGTGTAAATCAAAGCACTCTAGGGATTACTAGATTGACCAAATAGTCTCATTGATTGTACAAGTTCGATTTTTACTTGTAGCGCACGAACCGTCCAGCCCGCATCCACGTCAAGGAAACGATCGAGCTTCAAAGGAAGGCACAGTTTGATTTCTGCGTTATTATTTATTAGCTATGCGATAGTCTTCTTTACAAAAACCCTCAAACCAGAAAAAAATGACTTTATGACAGGCGAGTTATTCAAGGCCTAATATAACTGCCAGCAGGGAGGGAAAAAAGTCATACGAAGACAAAATGATGAAAAGCAATAACAAATGCAATGTACTAGTATCTTGTTGGTTGTCTTTTGGCTTTTAAAGTTGCTGCAAGGGGGGAGGGAGCTGGCGCATAGAACTACTAGGATGTCTCTGGTAGTTTTATACAATTATTAAGCTTAAAATCCAACGTTTGCTGCATTGAAAGGTGTTTTATGGCCTTGTCCAAATTCCTTTTGATTAATGCAAAAATGTTTTTGACCGGATCGAGGTCCAGACAGTTGGCGGGGATAAAGATGCTTCGCAGGCCGCAGGCGAAGAGACTGGCTGTGATCTAAAATATTAGATTTTAGTCGTAAGCCGAATTAGAATCATACCTCCTTTGAGCGCTGAACGGGGGCATTATCCTGCAACATTACAGTATCCATTCGACGTCGATGAAGACCTTGCTGTCTATAGTCTCCGAATTTGATGACTATCCAAACAATCAGGCGTCGACAGTTCTTAAAAGTTGGTGTCGATAGAGTGCGCTCTCGTGGGAAGTTCCCCCCACCTATAACCACCTGGGCCGACATCGGAAGCTTGTCTAAAAATAGGACCTCATAACAAAAGTAAACGCGTTTTGATTAATATACTTTCGAGCAAACAAAACACGTTCTCTAATAAATTTCCCACTTGAAAATGGCTTTGTCATGGCGCTTTACTGATGAAGGTCGGGCTCGTTCATCCTTTTTCTAATTATGCGCAGAAAAAACATCGGCGGATGTTCCCTGTAAATAGCCCCGAGAGGCATATAATAGCACTTTTTGGTAGCCGACGAATAAAATCGTCGTCCTGCCGGCTTGTAGACCGTTTTAATCCATTTTGGTAAATTGCAGGCATTGTTCTATGTTTAATAATTTTCCAGAGAGCTGCTTGACTGATATTGAAAGTACTAACTAGCGACTCGAGACAGCTCATTGGCTGCGAACTTTCGTATGCACTCAAAATCGACGTTCGACAAAAAGTGTCTTCATCGTGCGGCGTGACACAGAAAGGTGGCAGCATGTCGCGGTCCTCAATATATATATATATATATATATATATATATGAACGATCGGTGAGCGCCCCCTAACATTGTATATTCCCGATCGAAAACCGACAAGGCAACGGGCTCGTGGCCCGGTGAGTAGAGGCGTTGACTTCTAAACCAACAGGTCGCGAGTTCGAGGCTCGGGTGTTCCACACTTCGGGCTTGGGTATGGCTGGCTGACGACGGCTAATAAGCCAGAAATGGCCATTCCAGTCTCCCCTGTCTTTGTCGGCAATACCATTCTGCCTATCTATCATGCGCCGCTGTGCGGCTGCTGGTTGGGCTCGAGAGAGAGTCCATAAGGCACAACGGAACGAGTGAGTTCCGTATGAACGATCGGTGAGCGCCCCCTAACATTATATATATATATATATATATATATATATATATATATATATGAATCTCAAGTGATCCACACTTGGGGTTGGGTATGACTGGCTGATGACGGCTAATAAGCCAGAAATGGCCATTCCGGTCTCCCTTGTCTTTGTCGGCTCCATCTCATATATATATATATATATATATATATATATATATATCAGTTTACGCCTATCAATTCTCGGCGTAGTAGAACGAACTACCGTCAACCAAGTTTATTACTACATTTTATGGCAAAAAGTCACAACTTTACAAAATAGAATTTTTAATGCGTAATCCGCTCCATGTTTTTTTGACAATAATGCGGTTTTGAATACCTGGATCCAGCCAATTTTCATGAATGTGAAATGCCATTTTCGTTCCTAAGTGGGATTTGCTTGAAACCTGTCTTGTTTATTCGAATGCTTCCTTCTAAAATCAAGAAGCTTTGGCGTGTGATATTAGGATTAACATTGGGAATCTCTTGGATACCATGAAACTTCCCATTTTGCCAAATAGGTTCCTGCTTTCCTTTCATAAAACTAATCCGAATGCAATTCTTTTTTGGCATAATCCTTCTGTGTCGAAAATGAATGCAATAAACAAAAAGTGGCCACGCCAGATGCATGCAGTACAACCCTCTCAAATGCCGACCATGACATTTCATAAGTTATGTCATCTACTGTAGGCTGCTCGCAAGTAGTGCAATGTCCAGGTCATTCGCGCCCAAAGGCTATTTTGGGTTCAACAGAGTAATCACTGCCGATACGAGCAAAGATGCGAGTTCCAGGAACTAGTTGGTAAGAATTTAAAGTGATCGCTGGGACAGGAGCTTCATTCGCCTGACGTTTCGGATTCACGCTCGAACCCATCATCAGAGACAGTGACAGATAGGGGTGATTCGTGCGCAGGAAGTTGCAGTATTTGTAGGATGTAGTCGCTATGCTACTGTACACCTACGATAATTAACTCTTCATCGGGTATGGTTGTTGTCCGATGCGCTAATTACTTGATGGCCGGCTGGACAGCTGAACCTATCCACTTTGCCAGTGACAGAGACCGGGAACCGAAGTTCCGAGAACCACTTCCACTTCGTGACGGACTGTGTCGAGCCAGGTTTTGAGGTGACCCCCTCTTCGATGCCTCCAAGTAGGTAACGGTGCCGGGTCGAGGGCAGCAACACGGACTCTGGCCTGAGCCGTCCTTGCAATGTTGTCGCAGTGAGTGCGGACTGTCTCATTTGAGACGAAGTCAGTGTACTTCGCTCGGAGCATGGTCCTCCGGCCAAATACAGTAGATGTGCTAACTCATAAAATGTCAACGAAAATTTCGAAATGCGTTCTCGTTTCGAAAAGATAGATTAAGTAGTGTTGTAAAACTGATCATGATGCAGCATAAATCTATAATGATCCAGTTACCTGAGGGTGCCGGCTTTCGAAAGAACTTCTTTCCGACTGCCGACAAGACCAATACTCTGCCGAATAAGTAAAAGAATGAATATTTTTATGCATGTTTTCCATGAAATCTAATTGAATTTTCAAGGGCATCGAAAATCAATGAGACAATTGCATACTACTTAAGTAGTCATTTTTTGCAGAGTATAGACCTTGCATGCAGCCGTAAATAAGTTCTTTCGAAAGCCGACACCCTGAGATAACTGGATCATGATAGATTTATGCTGCATCATGACTAGTTATACAACACTACTTAATTTATCTTTTCGAAACGAGAACGCATTTCGAAATTCTGGTTGACATTTCATGAGTTAGCACATCTACTGTACCTCCAGTTTTCGCTCATCCTCCATGCGCTCAACCCAGCATTCACAACCGCACACGGTGCACGTGGATCTTCGTGGCGATGATGTCGCGACGTATAGTCCTGGCTGACTCAGTCACAACGAACGCCGTTTAAAATACAAGTAGTTCTTGTGACTTGATCTGTCGTGTGACATGATGTTATTTCTCTGCCCACGAGGCTGACTGTTCCTCCTTTGGGCTGCATTCGAGCCCGCGACTCGGCAGTCGTAGGAGTTATTTAGCGCTACCTTAATTATCCCTGCACCAAGTTTTTTTTCACTGTTCTCTGTTTTCTTCTCTTCAGCGTACGCTTTACGGTGCCAACGTGGTCATTTTTGAGGGTGTCCTAGCGTTCGTTTGGCCGGACTTGACGAAGGTGAGTTCTGGTTGTCCTTACCCCCCCCCCCTCCCCGTCGCCTTTTCTACTTCACTTTCGGTTGTCCGACACGTGGTGTGCGAGCGTAGGCTGCTGTGGAGTCAAGACCTGCACTTCGTTGCAGACGGGAGAGCTAATTAGGACGTTTCGGACTGCGCTGGCGCGATAGTTTGCCCGTCGCAGGAGATGAGGATCACTGCTGTCTTGAGAGCTCAGTGGTAACTCATACCTGACTTCACCTATAATGAGGCAAACTTTCATAGCATCTACCTCGTTGTCTCTCTTCCCTCACCCACTGTACGACAGGGCGAAGAGGGCTGTAGATAGACGTGATCGTAAAAGCTGAGGAGGTTAAACGGCCCGTTTACGCGAACGATACACAATCGGGTACCTTCCCAACTGTGATCGGACATATTTCATGAGGTTTCTTGGGAATTTCTGATACGGGCGGGTCCCCAGCAGCCGCTCGGATTGTTTGTGCGAGGTCGTTTCCTCTAGCGTTTTGGCTTAAAAGCCTAACCACAGGGCAGCGGTGGCAAGCAAACTTATTTAATGGCGGTTTACGGTCGCCATGCCACAATACCGTCATTGGGCCTTGCGGCCTTTTTTAAGGCTTTCAGCATGCCAGATCTCAGCTCACCGCACCCTGGTAACAATGTTGCCGCTGGTCCGCGACTGTTTATTCGTCAGATCTGGGTCTGCTTATTTCGCAGATAACCTTCACTGAAGGTCGTCCCACTATCCGCCACCTGTGAACGCGCCGGGTAGCCAGCATTTAGGCTAACGGGCGACCCGTCTTCCCGAGGTATTTGACCACCACTGCTTGAGGACCATCCTTCAAGTGAAGTTCACCGACTTCGTCTCAAATGAGACAGTCCACTTTCGCTGCGACAACATCGTCAGGATAACTCAGGCCATCCAAGAAAGACGGCTGAGGTGGTTCGGACATGTTCTTCCTTGTCCACCTCAGGAGATCAGTGTTACTGCACTCGATCCGGCACCGTTGACCCATTGGAGGCGTCGTAGAGGGGGTCAATTCAAAACCTGCCTCGGCACAGTTCGTCAAGACATGGAGGTGGTTCTTGGACTTTCGGTATTCGGTCTACGTCGTTGGCGAAGGAGATGGGTTGGGCTTTTCAGATCTGCTGCCTCGGATCGTCACGCGTGGAGGGGTACAGTTCGTGACATCATCGAGGCCGGCTAGATCAGGCATGATCGCAGCCGTATCAAGTAAAAGTACAAGTAAGTATGGTGGCACAACACCACGCCGCGCCGGCCGCCTGTGCTCAATCCTGCCTCCGGTTCTCTTGCAGCCTTGTTAATACCGGGCCCAGACGGGTGAAGCAGGAGAGAGTGCGTTAGATGCAACGAAAGTCATCTATCCTGTCCATGTGCCCACCTTGCTGTGCGGCACATCGTCATTAACGACGGTCGAACGGTCGTCTTATTTCCTCAAATGGATTGTTAAGAAGTTTAATTCATGCAGTCGCTATGTGGATAGAAACCTTTTCTTGAAATTCGTCGTTAGGACCTATTAAGTCTTCTGGCACTATGTCGACAAAGTTTTTGGCATGTGTTCTCTGGATGCAACTGGCTACAAGGAGGCACCCCGACGCCCTCTCTCTATACGGTAGGTGACCTAACCCACGAAATATGTCTAAATTAACATGAAATCTGAGCGCATCCACCAAAGCACCAAACTTACAATGAACGGTCTCCTGTTTAATGGAAACGCAAAGTAAGTATTTCAAATACTACTTGAAAAAAAGCCGGTCAGATGTGGTTATGTAGCCCCACCTGAGGTAAACAAACCCCAACCACCTGTAATACGGGACCGGTGGTAATAGGGGTTTTCACAGGTGGGGCCGGGGAACGCATAGACGACGAGGTCAAGTAATTGTATGCGAAAGAAAAGCTATTGGGAATGCGCGGTTGTACTTTGAGCGGTTGAGAAATGGTTGCCCTAACCATAACCCCTGAACCTCACCCCAACCCCAACAGCATTGTGCCCATCAGGTGGGGCTACATAACCACGTCTTGCTAAAAAGCCATCCTCTTAAGTAAGGTGGAAATGCCTAGAACGTGAAAATTCGTTTCAAATTAGTAGACCCGAGTTTTAGAAGTACTTAATGTTCGTCCATGTGGTATGCAATTTTCTCATTGATTTTCGATGCCCTTAAAACTTCAATTATATTCCATGGAAGACATGCATAAATTATTCATTCTTTTGCTCATTCGGTAGAAAATGGCGTCTTTTTTCAATCCTATACTCAAAGGAATGGTATAATTCGGTTTTAAAAAGTTTCTGATTGTGCGATTTTTAATACCGTGAAATGGCCATTCATAAAACGTTGTCTCTGCAGTTACCAATGTGGCTTGGAAAGTTAACAATGCGGCTCAAATCCACTGCTTAATTTCATGAACCCTTTATACTCCCCCGTTATTACCGTAGAAGAATATATGGTTTTCCGTACCTAGAAAATATACGACTTGTAGATTTGAAACCTGAAGGCAAGAGTAACGGCGGGTCGAGTTTAAAATCATTCGGGAATTGGAAAAGTTTTTAAAAACCGAATCACACCCTTCCTTCGAGTATAAAACTGGAAGAAGACGTAATTTTCTACCGAAAGAGTGAAAGAATGAATATTTTCATGCATGTTTTCCATGAAATATAACCGAATTTTTATTGGCGTCGAAAATCAATGAGAAAATTGCATGCCACCTAAGTAGTCATTTTTGCATAGTATAGTCCTTGCATGCGGTCGAAAAGAAGTTCATTCGAAAGCTGTCTCCCTGAGGCAACTGGTTCATTACATACTTGCGCTACAAGATGATCTGTTTTGCAATCCTACTTAATTAATCATATCGAAACGAAAACGAATTTCGAAATTTCGGCTGGCATTTCATGAATTAGCCCACCTACTGTATTATGCGAGGAGTACGTCGTTTGCGGCACGCGTAGACGGTTTTTTCTAGCTTTGTCCTGACGCTGTCATGCCAACAGAGGGCGGTACCGTGCTGCGAAAGTCTTCCTTTTTATAAACGGATTCAGGCGCAGAGGGTGGACATTGCCGCTTGCGACTGTTCCAACATCTACCTGCTCTGCTGCTCTCTCTCTGTCCGAATTCCTCTAGAGGAGTGGCGACAGATTATGCTGACCCTGCCGAATGCATCATCACGCAGATCGACCAAAAAGCTGACTTTGGCGCATATATTTAGTGGATGGTGCGCTAATTAGTGATTGCACGACTAGTGATGTAGAACCATTTGGCCGGCAGCGCCATAAGCGTTCTGGATCGAAAAACCTGTTGGCAAGGCCGCGAATACAGGATAACGCCTGCCAGCTCCGTTTTTGAAGTCCGCACTTAATTCTCTTTCTTCTAACAAGTGGAAGTCCGACCTGTGCCGGAAAAAAAAGACAGCTGATGACTCAGTAGCCACCGTGCATGTCAGAGGGCCATTTTGCCAACTAACCCTGCACATGAAGATGATAAACCCGATGAGCTAGTCCAAGATATGCCTCCTGCGTCGCTTCCGGTTGGTCTGGGGAGACGTTCGGTAGCGGACAACAGGGAGGTTTCAATTCACCTCCATAGCCGTGGCTTTACAAGGCAAAGGCACGTCAGACATACCAAAATGGTCCAAAATAATTTGTTAAGGTATGACAAGAATCTCAAACAAGCACTGTAGTATCGATTCCTCTCATGTGAGCACGTTTTACTGAATGGTTCCTCCGGAAGGAGGTAGGGTACTACGATGAGAATCACGGGATATTCGTGGAATGGTGTTTTTTGATAGCGAATTTCTTTGTGGAACGCTTTCTGGCAAAATGAGTTAGAATATTCCCTTTAGAGGTCAATACGCTGAAGCATGTGCACGGGCAATATAGACGACAATGCCTAAATTGGTGATGATTGATGGTGCCCCCACCCCGGAAATGGTCCCCTACAAATCCCGTTCAAACGCTGCGAAGGCTAGTCGCTGTATGGAATGATAAACAGATGTAGTTATGCAGCCCTACCTGAAGTAAACAAACCCCAGCCACATGTAATACAGGACCGATGGTCATAGGAGTTTTTACATGTTGTGCCGGGGAACGCACAGGCGATGAGGTCAAGTAGTTGTATGCAAAAGAAAACCTATTGGGAATACGCGGTTGTATTTTGAGTGGTTGAGAAATAGTTACTCCAACCCCTAACCCCGACCTCTAACCTTAACCCCTGACTCTAACACCTAACCCTAACCCCAACCCCAACAGCATTGTGCCCATCAGGTGGGGCTACATAACCACGTCTTACCATAAAGGCACTTTCTTAAGTAAGGTGGAAATGCCTAGAACGTGAAAATTCGTTTCAAATGAGTAGACCCGAGTTTTAGAAGTACTTAATGCTCGTCCATGCAAATGACTGATTAAATCAAAGGAATGGGTTGAGCTGTCCAGATCTGCTGCCGCGGATCGTCACGCGTGGAGGGGTACAGTTCGTGACATCATCGAGTCCGGCTAGATCAGGCATGATCGCAGCCGTATCAAGTACAAATACCTTCTCCACGCTCAGTGATGGAGACTCATCCCGCGCACGAGCGAGGGTGTCATGAAAGTCATGCTAAGCACCAGTGCAGTGTGTTGAACTCCTTCGAGCGAAGGACCCAGCTGACCCGTTATTTGGCAGCGGACCAAAGCTACAACCCTCGGTGCATCATGATAGTTGCGGACTTGCTGATTTGCCATGAACTACTGCGTTGGACGCGTGTCTCACGCGCCTGTACGGCAATAGTTAGAGTCTCTTGTACACTCAGTACAACACGTGGCACTAGGCACCGTGGTCCCCGTGGCGTGACAGTGGCGCAGTTTCTTTGGGTGGGGGTGGACGCACGCGCATGCAATGCGTCGTCCCTCTCCACCGACCTTGACAGCCTTTGCCTCACGGCTGTTGCACGAGTGATGGGTGATGTTTTTGGCGGATGTGCCGACCAAACCCATGCGATGACTAACTGTGTGTAGGCAGGCCGATGGGGATAATTCGCCCGTCGTAACTGCGATGCCTGTTTGGGTGATGAGTGGAGGGACTTGGTGGTAGGTGTGCGGTGGGGCCTCCTTTAACCCGACTGCTGCTAGCATTGCTGTTCTGCTAGAAGTAGTTTCTCTGCGCGCGCGCGTGGACATACAGTAGGTGGACTAACTCATGAAATGTCAACCGAAATTCCGAAATGCGTTTTCGTTTCGAAAAGATTAATTAAGTAGGGTTATGAAACTAATAATCGTGCGGCATAATTCTATAATGATCCGGTTACCCCAGGGCGACGGCTTTCGAATGAACTTACTTCCAGCTGCGTACAAAAACTACACTATGCAAAAATGACTGCTTAAGTAGCATGAATTTTTCTCATTGATTATCGGTGCCCTTAAAAGTCAAATTATCTTTCATGAAAAACATGCATAAAAATATTCACTCTTTCGCTCATTCGGTAGGAACTTACGCCTTCTTCCAATTTTATACTCGAAAGAGGGACATAATTTAGTTTTAAAAAAGTTTCCTATTGTGGGACTTCTAAATATCGTGAAATGGCCGTTTATAAAACGTCATGTCTCTGTATTTACCAATGTGGCTTGTAAAGTTAACAATATGTATCAAATCCACTGCCAAATTTTATGTACCCTATGTGGTCCCCCTTTATTACCGTAGAGGGATGTGTGGTTTTCCGTACGCGGAAAATATACGGCTCGTAGTTTGGAAACCCTTAATCCAAGTGTAACAGTAGAGCGGGTTCAAAATTATTCGGGAATTGGAAAGTTTATTGAAAACCGAATCATACCCTTCCCTCGAGTATAAAATTGAAAGAGGCTGTAATTGTCTACCAAATGAGCGAATGAATATTTTTATGCATATTTTCCATGAAATATAATTGGACTTTCGGTGGCATCGAAAATCAATGAGAAAAATTCATGCTACTTGCGTAGTCATTTTTACAGAGTGTAGTTTTCGCATGCAGCCGAAAGGAAGTTCATTCGAAAGTCGGCATTCTTAGGTAACTGAAATATTATAGAATTATGTTGTAGGCTGACCAGTCTTGCAACCCTACTTAATTAATCTTTTCGAAACGAAAACACATTTCGGAATTTCGGTTGACATTTCATGATTTAGCCCACCTACTGTACGTAAGCTGTGCGTCGTGCACGTGGGACGGGTTCAGGAATGGCGTTGT